TAGTCCTGAGGGGCAGTAAAGCTACCTGTACTTACCCCCACTGCATTATTGATGGATGTAATGGTGCCATTACAAGGATAGGAAGCTGCTGATGTTTTAACACAGGGCTAATGAGGAAGCGTTAAGGAATTAAAGTCCGCTGGGCCAACTTGGGCATTTTAAATGGAGATGAGCAGGAAGCAGAGTGGAGTGTTTTCACAGAGAATGAGGGTTACTAAAAGAATGGTGGTCCAAGCCCTAACACAGCTCAGCTATTTTCTAGGCCTTTATAAAAAAGATAGACAGCTAATTAATGTTCTAAGATATGGCAGTTTGGTGTGATAGTACTGGTCTGAACCGAGCCACTGTGGTTTATATCCTGCTGACCGAGGCGTTTGAGTCCAGCCAAGTCGTCAACTTAGCCGTCTGTATTTTTTGAATGTGCAGACATGGTGTAAATCTTATAGACGTAAATCTTAAAAACAGCAGACGGCTACCTTTTAGCAAAGTGGTTGTGTGTGACAAAAAGCCGAGCTGGCTTCCTGTTCTGATCTGCATACCGGCTGCATTTGTAGCAGGCAGCACTGCTGTGGAAACAAGACAGGTCGTGAGGGTCAGGATTTTATCCAAGCAACATTTACAATCTGTCTTACTAATTAGAAAAACACACACACATGCAAGAAAAGACACTTTGCTCTCCCATGAACACACCATACAGTGTTGATCCAGCACCAAAGTGCATTATGTTTTTTTTTCATGGTTTTTATTTAAAATAAATCAGAACACACCTGCTGAAGTTTGTAAATCGTATTTTTGCTTTGGCTTGATTTTTTTTTAATTATAAGATGAAATTAATTAACGTCCTATCTGATAAGCCTTTGTACTTTCCTCAGCAGCTTTGTTAAACAAGTTTTCAAATGAAGTGTAATTAAATAAAATAAAAGGGTGCAAATGAAGTCACATTTGTAATTATTAACGCTGCAGTGAAAGTGAAATTTAGACAATTTTGCAACATGTCTGCAAGTACAGATGTGTTGAAACACCCATTTAAAAAAACTCTAATTGGATTTGTGGGTAAGTGTCTTTGTTATCAACTCTGTGATGGAGAACAAAGGATTTCAGCAACGTGCACGAATACACGTCAAGTAAGCGTTGTCTGATGTGCCTTCTACTCTGTTAACTGTACAGTACACCTACCTGTTGGTAATTTTCACTACTTTTTCTTGCAGGTATTTTCTGCAAATGATGGAAACATTAAGAATGAATGAACATTTTTACTATTTTAAAAAGGCTTACATTTCATATCCATATTTTCTGTATATTTTAGCGTTTTCTTATGTCTTACTATTTCTTTTTAGGTCAAGCTTGTTATATACATTTGAAATAACAAATACGTATTAGTAGGAATTATGGTATTATGGTTTATGGTAAAGAAACCAAAACAAAACAAAACTATGGACAAGGATGTGAATGGGAATGAAGTGGAGTAGAGTATAAAGTTCACTTAGTGCAGCTTATATATGATAATTATTGCTCGCTCTATTACAGATACAAATGTTAGTTTGTTCTCAAGGAAACTTGACCCTTGTACCATTGTCCATTTTTTATAACCAAGATAGATTTGAAAAATCTATATAATTGTAATTGTCCTTCTACTAACTAGTAGGTATATTACCTTTTTGTTAAAGATCACATGCAGGTGAAATCCAGTGAGCAGTGAGATTTCATCAGTAATGTAATCTTTGAGTATATTTCTTCAGTTTTGTGTTATTCCTTCATAATGTGTTTTCACCTGTAGAGAGCAGTGCAGAAGCACTTATTTACTGTCTGGGATTTAATGTGAACACAATGAGATCTGACTTTGGAGCCATGAAGAGTTAAAGTTTGTCACACAGACATTTCACCTGCAGGCATTAATACGTAATGTGTAAAAATGTTTTAAATGAATAGTATTTATTAACATCAGAAAACTTTGAATAACAACTGACCACTGGCCCTACAGTTTTTATCAAAACATTAAAAAATCGAATACATTTCCTACTTTGAAAACTATAAGGCACAATAATTACTGTTAAATGTCAGGAACTTCTTTGATAGACTGAAAAACATTATAAATATATTACAGGCTTTAATTGCAACCATAATCAAGCAGCGCTTTAAAATAATGTATGAGTATGTGAGAGCTTCTTTGATGGTCTGCGTTTTCTCAGCTTCAATGCGATCCCGGTGGAAGATATGACTCTTTATAGTACACCGTGTTCCATTACACATGCCTTTCCACCACTCCATGTCATTCTCTGAAAATGCTTTTAATAAAACTAACAAAGCTAAAGGAAAAGAAAAAGGATGCAGACAAATTTCGAGAGGATTAAACACATCTGAGTGGCACAAAGGCGTTCAGTCAGTGAATGCCACACCCAAGGCCCCTCACTCAAGCACAGTATATGGATACCAACTCCTTTTCCTTCAGAGGCCATCTCACTGACACACACAAACACACACACACACAGCAGCAGGGTTAGTGGCCAGTCTCAGTGAAATACAAGTTTCCCCGTGTATGATGACACCGCTGTATTCTCTGAGATGGCCTGGCCACCGAGGCTGCCGCCTCACAGCCTCTTGACAAGAGAGCACAAGGATGACCAAACAGTCAGCGAGACAAGCAGACTGAATTAGTGCAGATCGAATCAAATAAATCAAACAAAACTAATCAGATTTTTTTTAGTATAAATGCTTGGTTTGGATTAATTTTTTATTGGGTTTTAAAATTGAAATGCTACGTTTTTAAACCAGCTTGGAGCTCCGCTCTGGTTCCAAACACCTGTCACGACAAAGCAGGGAAACAATAGGAATTAATGAGAAATATTCAAACGTTTTCCAATAAGTGTTTGTGTGATTCACAGAAGAGTGGAGGGGGTTTGCAGTACACCGCTGCATACAGCAACTGCTCCGTGTATTTCAGATATTCAAATTATCTCTTGCTTGTGCTCGCTGGCATGTGAGAGCACAGAGGCTTCATGGCATAAAAGCTGGACAAATATACAAACTCATAAGCTATCAGTATCAATGCTTTGGGCAATTATTAGCACATAAAAGAAGCTTTTAGATATATGGGGGGATGGGGGTGGGGGTGTAAACTGATCGTACTATGATAGAGTATGAAAAAGAAAACACGATAAGAGGAAAAAATATGTTTTTGCGTGTGTGATATCAGCTTAGATAAACGGAACCTGTGGGGGAGGGCGGCGGATGAGGCAGGGTGGGCTGGTGCCACATGTACAGTACCTGCTCTATCTTGGCATAGTAATGAGCTACCCAGCTCTGTGTACTCCTCTCTGTGCCATTCTATGCAAATAAGGAGATCCCAAGGCCACGAACACGATCATTTAAACATCTTTGAGATATTTTACTTCACCAGAATTGACACTCAGCTCAGTTTAAACGATGAAAAGACCTTGCGGGGGTTTTTAAAAAACCTTTTTTGTTTAAAACAGCTTTCTGAATGCATCTAACACCAGCAGCTCTGAGCATGTGCAAGGCTGAATTTATCTGTGGATTAATGAATGAAGCACACGGTGTCAGAGCTGCGTTGATACTCTGTCAATATCAACACAAGCTCCAAGCTTGTTTCCAGAGCTTAGACAAAAAAACACTGACCCCGCCTTGTCTCTCCAGTCCTGCCATGTTAACAGCTGTTTCTTTTACTCTTGGTGAATAAATAATAAACATTAAGTATTAAGACTTTCAGTGATACTAAACCAAATAACAATGTGAATGCTTACATTGTGAACAATGAAAAAAGAAAACTGCTCCAGGTAGATAACAATCATAATGATCTCACTAGACCAGGTGAGCCTCGTCCACAGGGTCCCCACCCACTCAACTTCATCAGAAGCACATGCACAGTCTCCATGACAACCACTTACCATGACCCCCCTCCCCATCCCCTTTCACCATGACGACCTCTGCCACCCAGCTGTCCTCCTGAGGCCTGTAACCGAGCTAATATGGCTGCTGCTGCGGAGCGCCCAGCGACACTGAGAGCACCAGCCCTCTCCTCCTCCTTTCCTGTAATTCCTCCACCCCAGGGGGTTAAAGCAACTCAATCCAAGGACTCATTCAGACAATAAAACCCACTCTATCCTTCAGTTCCACTGGGTTTAGTGACCCATTGCCTGCCAGCATAGGAATCAATTTGATGTCCAGTGCTGCTAACTATCAGCCTAACAACTCCTTAGAACTGGCAAGCCTCTCTCACATGAAAAACTCTACCCATGATTCCTCTCCCAGCCAGAAAATTTTCTAAATGGCTTCTGTAACCTGGTTTGGGTCTTGCTTATTTTGAAACTGAGCTCAAATGAGAGGTTGATTGTGTGCTACAGGAATGTGTAAGTGCACTACAACTACAATCCAAACACACACACACAGCTTTTTAAAACATCTCTTTGTGTCGGGGGGGTTGCATAATGATTCCATGACAGCCTGTCAGACATCATATGAAATTGATTCCATGCAGCCAAAGCTCCCCTCACTCTCTCTACACCATTGTCCCCTGATGACTCCGCTCTTGATCAATCCTATTATGTGATAACATGCTACAGTATCCTAACAAAGACAAAGAAAAGTACAGATCACAAATGGAGGCATCGTTAATGTCCGTTAAACGCTGTCACAGTTGATTTTGCATTCAGAAGTTGGTACCTTTCAGATCTGTGAGATCTTCCTTCGTTAAACGCGCGATAAAGCTTCTGACCTGCAGGGCTGGCCACATCAGGAGAATGTTCCTACCGACTGGAAAACCGTTTAACCTAACTGGAACAGCATTTAAGACTTTGTTGAAAGATTGTCAAGTGTCCACTAGGTATGAAATGTAGCCTTTAGGCCTTTCCGAATGGAGAGCATATCCATACACTGAGATGCTGTAGTGTGTAAACGCCTGAGTGAAAGTGTGTGTGTGTGCGTGCGTGTAGAGCGGTGGATGTCGAATGCATGCATGTGCAGCAGAGTAGTGTGTGACTTACCCCTGGCTGTCCCTGAGGGCTGAACATGCTCTGACAATGCTGACGCTTCTCAGCGTCCCACTCCTCCGACAGCTTTCATCTACAGTATGTTCGCTATCACTCAAAACTCCCTCCTCTGCTTCCTGAACACTCTTTTTTGTTTCTATAGTGTTTATCTTCCCGTGCTATATCTTCATACTTCCTGCCTCTTTTTCTACTACGTTCTTCTTCTTTCTCCTCATCTTTCTCTTACTCTCCTACTTTCAATGCTCTGCATTTGGAAACTCTTTATTCATTTTCTCACTCACTTTCTTCTTTACTCATCTCCTTCTTTTTTCCTCCCGCTCTTCTTCTCCTCCTCTCTGTCGCCCTCATCAGTGCTCCAGGAGCTTGGTATCGCTTGTCTCTCGGCTGGCACAGAGAACAGGCAGACACATGGGAGGGCTGTTTTGTAATCCAGCAGGTCATACCACCCTGGCACAGGAAAAGGGGGGGCTGATGGGATGCACAGAGGGAGGGGAGGGGGGAGGGAGGACTTAGAAGGCCTATACTACTACCTTCCAACCTATACCTTTTCTGCATCCCTCCGTCTGCGAGCTGATGGTCTCTCCCTTTTTTTTCCCCATCGACGCCGAGGTCTCGCCTCACTACATCCTCTCTGTGAGTTTGAGGTTTTAAGAAGGAGATGAAGGAAGGAAAGAAGGAAGGAAAGAAGGATGAGGGAGAATGGGAGTGGAAGGAAGTGTGGGAATGAAAGGAGGGATGAAAAGGAAGAGGAAAAGATACTGATGAATAGAGGAAAGGAATAGGAGAGGGATGCCTCGAAGGGTTGTAGACTGAATCAATGAAGCCTCTTCAGGAGATATTTTTTAAGTATAGGAATCAAATGTATGATAAAATGGGAACAAGGAGAGCAGTCATGATTTGGTGATGCAAGGAACAAACAGATGAGCAGAAAGAGAGCGGTAGAAAGACAGCCAAAGAAAAAGACAGAGGTTAGGACTCAGTGGCTAAGCGGCTGTCTGCCTCGCTGTGAGCTGTCATCTCTCCTGCAGTTGGTCAAATTGCTGTCCATTCATCCTCACTTTCACCTCAGTCAGTTCAGGAAGATGCTGCTCTTCAGCAGTTACAGTGTGATTGATATGACAGATTTGCCAGATCCTGCTACCATTTTGAGCCTGGACATTATACCTGCATTTAATGCTACTTATGGAGCAGAATTGGGGAGAAATTTCCTTATCTATTATCTTTAAGTGATGGCGTATGAACCCTGCTTCCAGGTCCAAACTACTCTGCATTTATTAAGGCTGTTCAGTTTTTGTCTTATTCTATTTAATCTGAACAAGCCCCTAAAAAAAAGTCAGTGATCAGTGTCGGCCTCTCTCGGTTTTTATTACCAATATTCATCAGCAGCATGTTTTAAAGCTCAGTTTTTAAAACCTTACGCTGTAACTACAGTCCAGACCATGCAGCAGTATTTTACTGACTAACCTCGTATTGTGGATGGATTATCTCAGTTGTTCTCCTGACTGAAGTTTGGTCCATTTACAGGATCCTGGCGATCACAGGATGCCTGGATGTTAAACTCACCTGGTAGAGCAGCCACACTGATCATTTTATTAAAGATTAAAGAATTTAGACACTTTGTAACTCTCAGTGATACTGCAGTGTTTGTTTCACTTTGGGACCTGAAGAGGAGTTTGGACCCAGAAACGGCTAATGACGTCAGACTGATAGGTGGATAAATGCCATAGTGTTAACTTGTGGCAAACCACAAAGTGGAACTCAGTCTCAATCCCTATAGAACAGCTGATCTGACCAAAGCCAACATTAACTAAGCTAATACCCTTTTGCACATCCAATTGTCACACCTTGATTAAATGTATAGAAACATGCTATTTAAACTGCTTTGGACTGTCTACAGTTGCTGTGCATCTGCAAGCTGCTTTGCAACCAACCTCCATCCTAGCTGCTCATTTTAATGCTGCACCTGACTTAATGTCATATGTGGTCTTATTCCAGCAGGTTTAAAAACCAGACTCTGTCCATCAAAGTCCAAGATGTGAGCTGTGAAGAGGGTTTCATATATTGTTTAATGATTCACCAAACTCTCACACACCTTTATCCTTCACTGATCAGATTCTGCTTGCGAGACTACTCAGACAGAACTGAATACAGTGATTATAAATAAGCATAAAAATTGGACTACATGACAGTTGCCAATTTTATCCATTAGATATAATTTTAATCTCATATATTTGACCGTATTTCTAATGACCCAACCTGTTGTCTCAATTATCTCAGTTGTGTAGGCACTCTTTTGAACATAGACCACTTGAACATAGCATTATGTCCTCAGTGTTGCTTTATCCTTAAAATACTGATTCTCACATTGATATGTAACTGCTTGCATTAATTCATGTAAGCATATTTTAATCAGTTGTTAATGACCAAGCTTGGCCTATATGTTACAGTAGGCTGGGTTTAATTGCTGGGGTGAGACATGCTAATGTGTACAGTGTGAATGACTATGTGTGTGTGTTTGGAAGAGGGAAGGTGGTCTGATTGAATGAATACCCACCAAACCATGAAGGAAGGTGACCAGAGTGTGCATGTGCTTGAATAAAAAGTCTTGAGCAGGAGTATTTCTACAGCTGGCTTGACATCTGTGCCCAGCTAAGGGTTCACCTCCTCTCTAAATGAAGAGCAGCCTTCCAGGGTGGATTGGAAGAAATTTTCTAATCTAATTCTTATCTATTGCAAATGCCTCATTATTACTAATATAAATTATTTAAAGATAATAAATATGAATATTTTCAGAGGCGTAAAGCTGTGACAACACTACAACACTGAAGTACAGTCAAACTATGTAAAAAGGAGACAATAAAACCATATATTTTTATTTAAGAACAAGAAAGTGAAAGGGATTATCCGTGAATGTAAGATACAGTATGGTGCTGAGAACACATAAGCAAACATTATTTAGAGCAAAGCTGTTTACTTCTATGGTGGTTAAAAGGAAAAAGCTCCCAGCGTCTGCGGCAGCGTCTCCTTTTACATCTTAAGCAGAGACGAATGCAAAGATGAATGCAGCATTTTGACTGAAGGGATTTTTCTTCAACCATTTGAAAACACTCATTCCAATTCATTTACCCAAATACATCAGTCACCACAACTATGTGCCACCTATGGATTGATGCACATGCTCAGCTATGGATGAAGTCAGTTAGTTTTGCCTGTGAGAGGAGGTATCGATCGTCATCCACATGCAATCACAATGGACTGGGAAATGAGCCTAGCCCACACCACACTAACTGACATCATTCAGACCTTGTATATACATATTAGACTTCATAATTTCTCTTATTACTTGAGATCCTAAAAGGGTTTGCACCGCTGTAATTTTTATGCTAATTTGTTCGAATTAAAAGATCTGATGACTGAGAGAAATTAAGGACTAAATTTACAGAATTGAAACAACTGAAAACTGTCACAGTCTCTGGTTCTTTGACCTTCGGTTTGGATGTTTTTATGAGTTTATGTTTTCTTTTGGTTTCAAGAATGATTTATCTATTAGTTTCATTTTTAAAGAATTTATGATTCCTTTGATTGTTTTTCTTTTCCTTTTTCTGTTTTAGTTTGGGGTTCTTTATAGTTGTCTTTTTAGTTCTTCTATATAGTTCTTAATAGTATAGTCTTTATATGAGTTATGTTTTCGTTCTGTTCCTTCAGTGTTCCCCACTTAATGCTGCTAGCAAAGACCCAGCCTACAGGAATTTTTTTCATCAAACTTGGTACAGTTAAAGCTTAAAGGGAACATATTCAATTATTACCAATTTCGAACCACTTGAAATGCAATAGGAACATTCAAGTTATAAGAAAAGATGGAATGGCAACAGCCTCATCCCACATGTGGTACATGTGGTCATCAGCTATTTGAACGATGACTGTTATACATATCTTTCAGCTCAAGGTCAAGGTGAAGGTCAAGTTTATTTATATAGCACATTTCCAACCAGTCCATGCTGCACAAAGTGCTTAATAGAGCACTTTGTACAGATACAAATACCGTGCAAAGCAACCAGTATTTGTATCTGTATATGTATTTGTTGAGGAGGGAAAAGTATTTGTATTTGTATTCGAGTAAAATTCAAAATAGGCGTAAAAATCCAGTTTTTTTGTATTACACTAGTGTAAGTATTCTTTAATTATATCCATTATAATAATTATGGATATGCAATATTAGTTGATGTTTTTCCATAAATCCAGCACTGAACATGTAACAAGGTACGTCATTGAAAAGAAAATAACATAACATAACATTGGCTGTTATGTTATTTATGTTATTGCCAGATGGCTCAGCAGCAGCAACACTCTTCTATTTGGTTCCCCAAATCCATGTGGGGAGTTTCAGCTAAGTTAATGAGTGACAACTACACAAGCATTGTTTTAACCTTTTTAACCGAACGTTAACGTTACTCTGTCAACAGCCTATTGTCTAAATTACCAAGCTAACATAGCTACATAAACAGAACGAACATGAGAGCACCTGACTGCAGAGGTCAATAATGCAGCGCAATGGAATAATCTCGCGATATTTGCGAAAGTTAGAAACCGGAACCCAGTTCAGGTACAAAAAAATCGATTCAACAGAAATCGTGATGCAGTTCACTCTTTTTTCGCTCAGCCGAGCCTTCTCTTTTGCTGTGTGGAGCAGCCCGTGTCAGTCACCTCTTTCACACATCACTCACTCATCCGGTCATGTTCTCATAAGGAAATTTAGCTTTTTGATATAAATTTTTTCCTTGTTCCCGAATACAAATATTTCCGAAATATTTGTTCGACACATTATTTGTGCCTTTCCGAATACCGTATTCGGGTTCGGCTCTACCCCTAGTGCTTAACAATGTAAAATGCCACTAAAGTAAATAAAATGCAAAACAATGATGCAGGAAAATATAGAAAGACAAATAAGTCAGTAAAAACACCTAAAACAACAACTAAGGCTGTTAAAACCAAAATGTTTAGGTCAATGTGTGTTTAAACCAGACCTTAAAAATGTGTCTTTAGTAATAATTTAAAATGTTTGAATGTTTGTGCAGATCTAATATCAAGAGGAAGGCTATTCCAGAGTCTGGGACCTGCCACAGAGAAGGCTCTGTTGCCACCAGACTTAAGTTTAGTCTGTGAAATAGTTTTGACAAGGACCTCATGGTTCTTTCTAGAGCATAAATAAATAGGAGCTCATATCTTTCTGTTATTTTTAAAGATTGAGTCACCTATAAACCATAAGCCTAAATACATTTACACTGTCACCATGAGAGGAAAAGACTTTCAACACGACAGGTCAGACACTTTAACCCCCACATTAATATCAATTAGGACAAAAACAACTGACTGAAAAGA